ATCAACCTACAGACAGTATTCAATAATATTATTTGGGACGATTCCTTGTCCCAGAATTACCCAAATTTTTTGAAACGAATATAAAAAAACAGGAAATTTTTCAAATTTATTTTATTTTAAATTTTTTATTCTTTCTCACACTGTCATGCCCCAATTTGTCCCACTATCTAAAATTTCCAATTTTCATTTCCATAAGGGTCCAAACAACCAAAAACGAAAATTAGTTTTGGTAATTATAGATACTGCTACCAATATCTTCGTAGATACTATAAAGAAACACATACAAAAATGCACGAAAATTAACAAAGTGAAAAACTCCCAATCCATAATGAAAGAGTATTTTGAAATCTGTTAATAACAAAAATAAGTTACATGCAATGAAAGTTAAATACCCAACGCATGAGAATATAAGCACCTATAAAAAATATAGAAATAAACTGAATGAAGTAATCAAACAGGCGAAATCAAATTATTATCAGAATGAAATCTCACAAAGTAAAAATAATTCAACTAGTTTATGGAAATGTGTTTACGAAATCACGTCAAAAAACAACAAAAATGATATCACATATGAAATTGTTGACAAAAATGGTGACGTAATTACGGATAATAAGCAGATAGCAGATGGATTCAACATTTTTTCTTCTAATATTGGACAAAAATGGCAGAAACGATAAAGCAAAACACCAACTATGAGACAGAAGTTCTATACCAATCGATCAATTTATTTTTCTTGGGAGATACAAATGAGGAAGAAATAAATGAATATATAAATAAACTAAAAAACAAAAAAGCGCCAGGCCATGACAACCTGACTGCAGAGACAATTAAACTCGTTGCCAAATATATTGTGAAAACTCTCGTATATATTATAAATTGGTCTATAAAAACTGGAATGATCCCTTCTTCTTTCAAGGTGTCATTGACTAAGCCATTGTATAAAAGTGGGAATAAACAGAATGTATCAAATTTCCGCCCCATCTCATTGATCTCAAATTTTGCAAAAATTTTCGAAATGTTACTAAAAATGCGTATCACAAAATATCTATCCAAATATGCAATATTATCTGATAAGCAATTTGGGTTCAGGGAAAAAAAGTCAACGCATGATGCTTTACTATATGTTACATCTAGGATATGTAAGTGTGTTGATAAATCGAAACCCACTCTTGTTATATTCATAGACCTAGCCAAAGCGTTTGACAACATCGATCACAGCAAATTGCTCAACATATTGGAAAGTATTGGTTTTAGAGGAAAGCTCGAGGGAAAGCCGCATAGTCTGATGGAAAATTACCTACAACTTAGAACACAAAGAGTAAGAATAAATGACAGTCTAAGTAAATAAACAGTTATACGGTACGGTGTTCCTCAAGGAACGGTCCTGGGGCCATTACTTTTCAATATTTATCTCAACAACCTATTATAACTAGACTTGAAAGGAGATGTGGTTAGTTTTGCTGATGATACGGCCATCATTTATGTAGATGAAGATTGGCAGACGTTGAAGGACAAAGCAGAAAGTGACCTGCAAATAATTTAAAAATGGTTCGAAAAACGGCTATTGACAATAAACATCCATAAAACACACTTCATTGCCTTTCACATCATATTCGAAGAACTTGCCAAGTTACGAGTCCCTTCAAATAGGGGACAACCAAACGATATCCATGGTCCGACATATTGAATATCTGGGAATATTCATGGACTGTAATTTGAAATCGGATGCTCATATTAAGTTTGTGATAAAGAAGTCACGTAGCACATTATCAAAATTCAAATATTTATCGAATGTTCTGAAAATTGACCAACTTCGAATACTGTATTATGCTTTGGTTGAACCTCATTTGAACTATGGCATTTTAGCTTGGGGAGCTGCTACAAATAACTATACGGAGAACCTCGAGAAGATTCAGAAATGGATCATCAAGATCATGTATAAAAAATCATATACCTACCCTACTAATGAACTGTTTCGTGAAACAAAATTATTTGACGCCCGACAACTATATTTCCTAACAGCCGTAGCGTGGCAACATACCCACAGAAATACATTAACACCAATAAACCATAACTATAACACACGACATAAAAATACTTCATCAGCTATACCAAGACCTGAAAAAAACAATCTGCAAAGAAGTTATACCTACTTAGGGCCAAAACTATACAGCTCAATTCCTCAAGAATATAAGCAATTCAATTCCACTCAATTATTCAAATAGAAAATGAAACAATGGATAAGCCAACATCCACGACTCTTCATCCATCATCATATAGATTTAAAAAATTTATACCATAATTCACAATGTTGAAAATAATATATAAAAACTAAAAATCATCTCAGAAGATTTTTTACTTGTATTTGCATATATATATTGTAGAAGTAGTATAGTGATAGTATTTCCAGGTCATATCATATGTCAAGAGTCATGGTATAAGTAGACATATTTCACTACCCACAAGGTTTGCCTTTTGGTGATTTGTCTACTATGACCAATTCTCTGAATATGATATAAGAAATGCTATTTCCGTAAATTACTCCATATACTTTCACCCTCATTATTTCAATTTCATCATCATTACCATTAATATGTAATATGTAATTATGTAAATTAGTTTAGATCTTATTATAATTATTATTCAATATCACTCCCTCTACCAAGGTTGTCCTTGTTGGGATGTATGTCTTTATTTACCAATTTTCTCTTATTTTGCTTGTACTGGTGTACTTATAGGTAAATAAAATTATTATTATTATTATTATTATTATCATTATAATCCCCACTTGACCCTGGATTCGAGAGTACAAATTATGGCATTGGTTAATGAACCTGTTTTTTTCCTGAATGTCATTTTTCTTTCTATTATCTCTTCATCCACAGTCATAGTTCTGGCTACAGATTGACATTTTATTTCCACAATGGAGTTTTTTCCTTCCGGAATTCCGTCAGGACTGGCAGCTATGTAACTGAATTCTTCATCAATGAATAGTCTACATTTTTAATAAAATTCTGTGCTTTATATACAACACAGTTTGATAGAAGTGTGCGAGAGTATGTGTGTTGAAATATGGCGAGTTCGCTTAGATCCACCCCTTCAAAGGGGTAGTTTATAAACTGGCCGATTCTCAAAAATCCTTGCTGACCAATTATTTTTGGTTGGTATATTTTTTATCAAACGACATATTTGAATATTCAATGAGAATATAAAGATGTACCAGTGAAATGATTCTGATCCACTTCTTCAGAGGGGTAGTTTATTCTTGCTGTTTTTCAAACACCCTTGTTAACCGAGCTCATCTGGTTCGTATTTTTCCTTGAAATTGAATATTTGAATATATTATTGAAATATATACATGCCACCAGTGAAATAATTCCGATCAACCCCTTCAGAGGGGCAGTTTATATCTGCTGTTTTTCAAAAATCCTTGCTGACTGAGCATTTCTGGTACAAGTGTTGCTTCAACTTGCATATTATTCTTCATGAAAATCTAGAGATGCCACCAGAAAAATAATTCTAGTCCATCCTTTCAGAGGGGTAGTTTATTCTTGCTGGTATACAAGAATCCTAGCCGATCCTAGCTGACCGAGCATCTCTGGTACGCTTTTTTTTTTTAGAATAACATATTTGAATATTGTTTGAAGATATGAAGATGGACTAGTGAAAGAACTTCGATCCACCCCTTCAGATGGGTTGTTTATACCTGCTGTTTTTCATAAATCCTTGTTGACGGACTATTTCTGGTTCGTGCCACCAGTAGAATAATTTCGATCAACCCCTTCAGAGGAGTATAGTTTATTCCTGCTATTTTTCAAAAATCCTTGCTGACCGACCACTCCTGGTTTTTATTTTCTCTCCAAATTGCATATATATTTGAATATATTATGAAGATATTGTTAGAAATTATAAATCTACGGACAATTTGTAAGAGATGGCAACGCCGCCTTCCCCACCTATCTTATTTACAGAGACAATTGCTCGGCAACAAAAACGCGAGTCTGGTCTAGCCTCCCTCAACTCAAGTCATCTGAGTCATCTCATTAGTGTAAAAACGTAAACTGTTGTATCAGATCGCACTGCAAGCTCTGCTTGACAGTCTTTGTATTGTAACACTGAATAAATCATTTTGGATTGAAAGTATCTTGGCTTTCATTAAATCATTGATAAAGAATTACAGTCCACGATTGGCAGCGGGATAAACTCCCCAACATTTGGTACTTCAAGCTGGATTCCCAGATAGCAATAATTGGAAAATTGTATTTCGGCATTTCCGATTGCCTATGGTTCGAGCAAATTTGGTGCATCGAGTTTGGATAAAAGTGCAGTAAAGTGAAAATTACGGAGATCGACAAGACATTTCATGTGTGTGGTTGAGGGATTCATCTGTGTTGGTTTGTGGAATCAGTTGGAAATAATTCATCAAACGCATAACGTACGCCGGTTGAGCGCGGAAAAGGCCGCCTAGCAACAGTCTTCGAAACGGTGAGTCGTGAAATCGAGCGTCTGCGTATCAAGGACACTTTCCGTACGCGCCAGAATTTGTGTTAAGCGAAATCGGACTCTATCGCACCGTGCATAGCGATACGTACATCGGTGTTCGCTCTCGTCGGCTACGAGTTGCCGGTATTCAGGAGACGGCGCAAGCGGTGGACATCATCTACAACGTGGAGATTTTCTACGTGATTTTCGAGGTCTACGTAGCAGAGAGCAGTGGCGTGCCTACTTGGTTTGGGTCTTGGCACAAATACATTGGTTTTTGGTTTGGTATCTTTACAACGAGAGTGAGTCCATGCATGTCCTTTCCTTATATTATATCTAGGCTGTTTCTTTGGTGACCTGAGTTGACTAATTGGTAATTTCATTATTTTCAACGGTATAACTTGAATTTGGGGTTAAATAATTGAAATATAATGGCAGATGATATTAAAACTTTGAATAAAAAAAGAGGTGTAGTGAAAGCTCGCCTAACGATATTCAAGAAATTTGTGGATGGTTACATGGAAAAAAGGGATAATGTGCAGCCTATAGAAAAATTGGCTTTGATTGAATTGGAATCCAGGATGAATTCACACAATTCTTTACCGTCAGAATTTGATGAAGTTCAAACTGCCATTGAAATGTTGGTAGAAGAAAATGAATTGGAAATGCAATTTAAAGTCAGGGAAGAATTTGATGACTGTTTTCATAAAGTTATCGCCATTTGCAAGGAAGTTTTGGGTAAGTTTGATGTAAATATGGATGAAATTTTGGATGACAGTGTGTCACAAAGGTCAGCTGGTCCTTCCATACACAATTCGAGAGCCACTAACCACAATGCTATAATGTCACAGCCTAAAATTCCATCTATCCCTATTCCTAAATTCAACGGAGTCATAGACACTTGGTTGGAGTTTAGAGATACGCTCGTACGTTTAGGTCATTGATACATGAGAATGACTCGATTGGTAATATTGAAAAATTCCATTTTCTTCGTGGTGCTTTGGATGGAGATGCTAGACAAATTAACCAGCGTGAAAGCAGCCACGTCTTCCAGCCACAACTACGCTGAAATTTCAGTGCGCGCTACAAAACACCAACGGTAGTCAAATATTGGAAACGTGGCCAGCCACACCTCCATTAAGCTAGCAGAACCACTTTGAATTTTTCAATTTTTTCTTCGGCCATAATTTTAGGCTAATTTAAGGCTAATTTATTACCCTATTGCCGAATTTATTGCTCTTCGATTTATGTAAAAAAACGTGGGTTCTGCTAGCTTAACGTTAAGCTAGCAGAACCACTTCGTAAATAAAAGTTCAATCACAAAACTAATTATACCATAATTTAAGGCTAATTTTAGGCTCCAATCCTAGCCTATTGCCAATTTTTTCGCACATTGTTTTTTTAAAAAAATCATGGGTTTTGCTAGCTTAACCGTTAAGCTAGCAGAACCAAATCTGAAATAGAAGGAATATAGAAATATTGAGTACACCATAATTTAAGGCTAATTTTAGGCTCTTCGTTGAACCTATTATCGATTTTTTTGAAAATCATTTTCTGCAAAAAAATTCCCAAATCCAACATGAACATGACAAACCAGTAGCAAACCAAAAAAAACTCCAATCACAAACCTGATTGTGCCATAATTTCAGACTAATTTGAGGCTCTGATCCTAGCCTATTGCCAATTTTTTCGCACACTGATTTAAAAAAAAATCATGGGTTTCGCTAGCTTAACCGTTAAGCTAACATGTGAACATGACAAACCAATAGCAAACCAAACAAAGTTCAATCACAAAACTAATCATGCCATAATTTAGGGCTGATTTTAGGCTCTGATCCTAGCCTATTTCCAATTTTTTCGCACATTGTTTTTTAAAACAATCATGGGTTTTGCTAGCTTAACCGTTAAGCTAGCAGAACCAAATCTCAAATAGAAGGAATATGAGAATATTGAGTACACCATAATTTAAGGCTAATTTTAGGCTCTTCGTTGAACCTATTATCGATTTTTTGAAAAATCATTTTCTGCAAAAAATTCCCAAATCCAACATGAACATGACAAACCAATAGCAAACCGAAAAAACTTCAATCACAAACCTAATTATGTCATAATTTCAGGCTAATTCAAGGCTCTCATCCTAGCTTATTGCGAATTTTTTCGCACACTGTTTTTTTTAAAAAATCATGGGTTTTGCTAGCTTAACCGTTAAGCTAGCAGAACCAAATCTCAAATAGAAGGAATATAAGAATATTGAGTGCACCATAATTTGAGGCTAATTTTAGGCTCTTCCTTGAACCTATTATCGATTTTTTGGAAAATCATTTTCTTCAAAAAATTCACCAAATCCAACATGAACATGACAAACCAATAGCAAACCAAAAAAACTTCAATCACAAACCTAATTATGCCATAATTTCAGGCTAATTCAAGGCTCTGATCCTAGCCTAGTGCGAATTTTTTCGCACACTGTTTTTTTAAAAAAATCATGGGTTTTGCTAGCTTAACCGTTAAGCTAGCAGAACCAAATCTCAAATAGAAGGAATATAAGAATATTGAGTGCACCATAATTTAAGGCTAATTTTAGGCTCTTCGTTGAACCTATTATCGATTTTTTGAAAAATCATTTTCTGCAAAAAATTCCCAAATCCAACATGAACATGACAAACCTCGTGACAAACCAATAGCAAACCAAAAAAACTTCAATCACAAACCTAATTATGTCATAATTCCAGGCTAATTCAAGGCTCTGATCCTAGCTTATTGCGAATTTTTTCGCACACTGTTTTTTTAAAAAAATCATGGGTTTTGCTAGCTTAACCGTTAAGCTAGCAGAACCAAATCTCAAATAGAAGGAATATAAGAATATTGAGTGCACCATAATTTAAGGCTAATTTTAGGCTCTTTGTTGAACCTATTATCGATTTTTTGAAAAATCATTTTCTGCAAAAAATTCCCAAATCCAACATGATCCAACAAACATGGGTTTTGCTAGCTTAACCGTTAAGCTAGCAGAACCAAATCTCAAATAGAAGGAATATAAGAATATTGAGTACACCATAATTTGAGGCTAATTCTAGGCTCTTCATTGAACCTTTCATCGATTTTTTTCAAATAATTTTCTGCAAAGAATTTCCGAGATCCAACATGAACATGACAAACCAATAGCAAACCAAAAAAAGTTTAATCACAAAACTAATTCAGCAATGATTTGAGGCTAATTCAAGGCTCTCATCCTAGCCTATTGCCTATTTCTTTGCACATTGTTTCTTCGAAAAGTCATGGGGTTTGCTAACTTAACCATTGCTAGCAGAACCAAATCTCAAAGAGATGGAATACAAGAATATTGAGTACACCATAATTCAAGGCTAATGTTAGGCTCTTCATTGAACCTTTAATCGATTTTTTTGAAAATCATTTTCTGCAAAAAAATTCCCAAATCCAACATGAACATGACAATACATTAGCAAATCAAAAAAAGTTCGATCACGAAACACATTATAGGTACCGAAATTTAGGTACATACATTTTCATTACAATTATATTCTATTCAATGGAAGTTACTAATCACAATTACAAATTTCAGTGCTCTTATGTATAGGAATGTAAAATGTTGGTGAAAAATCTCGTAAAAAATACAAGTTTATGAATACGAATACATCATATATTTTTGCCTTTAACTGTTCACCAAAATAAGAGACCACTAGTGTGAATACTCAATGATAAAATTAATAAAATATAATGCGGAACTGCGTTCGGCTTCAACTTCAACGTCTCGGAAAGACGGGGAATCACGGAAAGACGGGGAATCACGGAAAGACGGGGAATCACCGCAGCATAATTCGCTGTTGCCGGTGAAGCGCCAGCGTGGCCATATTTTTATACTGATCGAGGTTTTATACTGATCAATAAAATTTAAGAAAAAAAATATCGATACATAATATATATCAGGATAAATATCGTCACATAAATATCATGATATTTATCAAGATCTATATCCGGATATTTATCACTGATACCTATATATCCTACTAACCTTGGTTTTTTCATCTAAAGAAATTGCATCAAGACTATAAGAGTATCAAGACGTTCTCAAACAAAACACTCATTCTTAGAGCTTATCCGCAGTCATTTGCAAAAAACAAGCTTTTTCAAACAGGGTAACAATAATGGAAAAGTCTACGAATATTTTCAACATAATATCTTGCATACCTAATATCTTGAATCATGAGCGTATTTCTCACAGAATTGACTGAGCCATCATTATATCCGAGATTAAAAAATCATCATGAAAAAATCAACTACATTCTTTTCACTAAACAATTTCATAGATGCGCGTAAAGTAGGAAGACGATGATGGAAACCTACTTCCAGTTTTTTGCATTTTTTCCATATATAGCCACTACGATGTATTATGCAATGTGATGCATATTATTATGTAAGATGCAGAAATATTCGAGGAAATATTTCATCACATGGCGATTCGGAAATATTCACAGAAAATATTTGTCATGTTCATGTTGCAATTGAAATTTTTTTTGCAGGAAATAATTAACAAAAAAGTCGATAATAGGTTCAATGAAGAGCCTCAAATCAGCCTTAAATTATGGTGCACTCAATATTCTTATATTCCTTCTATTTGAGATTTGGTTCTGCTAGCTTAACGGTTAAGCTAGCAAAACCCATGATTTAAAAAAAAACAGTGTGCGAAAAAATTCGCAATAGGCTAGGACCAGACCCTTGAATTAGCCTGAAATTATGGCATAATTAGGTTTTTGATTGAAGTTTTTTTGGTTTGCTATTGGTTTGTCATGTTCATGTTGGAATTGGGAATTTTTTGCAGAAAATGATTTTTCAAAAAATCGATAATAAGTTCAACGAAGAGCCTGAAATTAGCCTTAAATTATGGTGCACTCAATATTCTCATATTCCTTCTATTTGAGATTTGGTTCTGCTAGCTTAACGGTTAAGCTAGCAAAACCCATGATTAAAAAAAAAAAACAGTGTGCGAAAAAATTCGCAATAGGCTAGGATCAGAGCCTTGAATTAGCCTGAAATTATGGCATAATTAGGTTTGTGATTGAAGTTTTTTTGGTTTGCTATTGGTTTGTCATGTTTATGTTGGAATTGGGAATTTTTTGCAGAAAATGATTTTTCAAAAAATCGATAATAAGTTCAACGAAGAGCCTAAAATTAGCCTCAAATTATGGTGCACTCAATATTCTCATATTCCTTCTATTTGAGATTTGGTTCTGCTAGCTTAACGGTTAAGCTAGCAAAACCCATGATTGTTTTAAAAAACAATGTGCGAAAAAATTGGCAATAGGCTAGGATCAGAGCCTAAAATTAGCCCTAAATTATGGCATGATTAGTTTTGTGATTGAAGTTTTTTTGGTTTGCTATTGGTTTGTCATGTTCATGTTGGATTTGGGAAATTTTTTGCAGAAAATGATTTTCAAAAAAATCGATAATAGGTTCAACGAAGAGCCTAAAATTAGCCTTAAATTATGGTGCACTCAATATTCTCATATTCCTTCTATTTGAGATTTGGTTCTGCTAGCTTTACGGTTAAGCTAGCAAAACCCATGATTGTTTTAAAAAACAATGTGCGAAAAAATTGGCAATAGGCTAGGATCAGAGCATAAAATTAGCCCTAAATTATAGCATGATTAGTTTTGTGATTGAAGTTTTTTTGGTTTGCTATTGGTTTGTCATGTTCATGTTGGATTTGGGAATTTTTT